TTGGCCGGGCCCGGGGCCGGGGCCAGGGCCGGCGGTGCTGGGCCGGGGGTGCTCGGCCGGGGGCCGGCGCCCCAGGGCCCGAGCCAAGCCAGGCGGGAGATGCCGGGGCCAGAGCCTCTTGGCCTGGGCCAGCCAGCCGCCAAAAGGAGCTGCTCGGCCAGGGGGGCCGGACTGGGCTGCGCCGCACCCCGCCCCAGCTTACCTGCTGCCTCCCTGTTTCAGGCTCCCCGCAAACATTTGATTCTCAGGAAGCAGGGGAGGGGGAGGAGCAGGGGGCGGAGCATTCAGGGGAGGGTGCAGAGTTGGGGCGGGGAGTTTGGGGAAGGGGCGGGGTTGGGGCGTGGCTGGGGTGGGGGAAAGGGCGGGGTTGGGGCGGGGCTGGGGCCCCATGGAGTGTCCTCCTTTTTTAAAACTAAAATATGGTAACCCTAAATGATGAAAATAGATTTAAAGCAGAAAACAGACATTAAATGAAAAGTAAAAACTGTGGTTTAAAGTTGCATTTGTTTAATTTAAAAAAATAAAATAAAACTAAATGTAGTGGGCATTGATCCGGATTGTGTTATTTATACAGTACATATTTCAGGATAGATCACACTATCAAGATAAATGATTGTTCCTATTAATGAATTACAGTATTGCTGGAGAGAAGCTTTGAAATGTATTTGGCTCCTGATAGGGCAGTTATTAATGGTCCTTCAGCTGAGCATGGTTGAACTTTGCTTTATATTTTTATTTTCTTTTTACTGCCTCCCTCAATATAATGTACCTTTGCTTCTAACGTAATTTTTTCCTTCACAATACATAGGTTACTATGAAAAGCATAATTTAGGCTCTCATAAAGTGTTTATAGTAAGCTGGTCCTGTATTTTCTTGTCATTTTGTCACATATAGTGTAAAAAGCACTTTCAGGAAAGAGCAAGCGCATCCAGTTTAGAAAATTAACAAAGCCATATTGTGGGACATTGCTTGAAAAACAACTGTCATAAGAATCTCTGCAGTCCCTGGAAGCTTTATTTACTTGGGTGACAGACTGTTTTCTGAAGTAGAATTACTTTACGTTGATCCCTCACACAATAATACTGTATTGAAAATTTGGCATCTTTCTCTTGGGTGCCAGGCTTGTGTGATAGTAATAGAATTGAGAGTATGGAAAGGCTGACAGTGGCAAATGGGTTCTCTAATGGGAAGGGAGTGAATGGGTATAGTTTGAAAGAACAATTGTGGATAGGTCCATAATCTTGTTTCAACTTGAGAACTAAACTCTTAATTATATTTTGCAGGATATGAATGATTACTCCCCAGTATTTAGCAAAGCTCTCTACAGGGGAATGGTTGCTCCCGATGCAATCAAGGGCACTGTTATCGCTACAGTTTCAGCTGAAGATCAGGATCCTCTGGTAAGCAAATGATTTTGTTAATACACTTCACCCAAGAGGGAAAAATCTTTAACCCTCGTATGTGACCTAACCCTCTGAGCAACAAAGGAGATTATTATGAGTCTCGCACAGCAGTAGCTCGCATAAATTTTTTATTCCAGCCTGTCCTTTGTCATCATGGACATAGGCTGCATTTCAAATGATTTTTCCCAAGGCTGACAAATCAACGATACAGCTTCTTTTTGATGGGAAGTTATCCGGCTTCATGGCACAGATGATAAAAAGAATAGGCAGGAAGCAAACCCATGACTGCCTGTATTTGGAACAGCTCTGTGGCTTAAAAAGAAAACAAAACACAACTTTGCAAGCTTGTCATTTCCTTGATTTGCAGTCATTGTGAGTTTCCAATCTATGTGACATACTAGTGTTCTATAAAACAGCACAGTTCATCTGTAGCCCGTTTTGGAAAGGCAGTATTTGAACTGAGCTTGGTTGATCTGGGGATAAAGATTATTTCTGCCACTGGTTTCTTATCACTGTTCCCTGGTGAAGCTCTTGATTGACAGAACTGTGCACATTTTTGACTTGTTAACTTTTCTGATGGGTACTATCTATTTGTGTAATCAAGGAGGTTCATGAACACTGGTGACCAAATGATACACTGAGGACAATAAAAGCCAAAGATATTCTGTCAGAAGAGTTTAATTTTAATTGTTAATGTTTAGAATATTAAGAAGAAGATACACTCCAAATGCTCAAGGAGTGGCGTTCTGAGAGAGTGTTTGCAATGCACATTAAAAGCTAATGATAATATTTTGACAGAGTTCCACATAAATCAGTTATCGTTAAATACAGTACAAAGTAGTTTTTTTTAACACTGAGAAGCACTGAAATACTAAGACAGTATTTATATAAGTCATATTTAATATGTCCTGTCTGTGCTATCCCTTTGCAAAAAATCCAAACACAAAATGGAAAAGACCTTCAGTTGATGTTAATCAGTCTAGCTCCTTTGAAGTCAATTGAGTTGGGCTAATTTACATCAGCTTAGGATCTGGCCCATTGTATGTTTAAGATCTGTAAAGAGAGAACTATTAAAATTCAGGTTAATAGTATCAATATTTATTTATTATTAGTATACATTATTTGATTAATGCCATTGCTGTGTTGAACTCTATACAGAACACAGAGGAAAACACAGTCTGTATTCTAAGGATCTGTCAACATCAGGGCAAGATTTGGGGTTGCATGGAAGGGCTGAAGAGGTGCTAAATACTGGCAGCCATTCTCAGACCCATTGTGCCTTAGCAAGGCGCAATGCCTCCACTAACATAAGGGAGCATAGATCTTAGCAGCTTCTGCTATGCGCTTTCACAGAGGTCAGTGTGCATATCCCTTTGCTGGCCTAGCTCTGGTAGCCATTGTGGATGGGGATTAGGGCAATAGCCCCACCCTCATGTTTCCCCTGTAGCTTTCTTTGGTGGTGTCACAAGGCTGGTCTTCACTGGGGGGGGGGGTTGATCTAAGATACGCAACTTCAGCAAAGTCGACGTATCTTAGATTGACTTACCTCGGGTCCTCACGGCGCGGGATCGACAGCTGTGGCTCCCCCATCGACTCCGCTTCCGCCTCTCGCTCTGGCGGCGTTCCGGAGTCGACGGGGAGCGCGTTCAGGGATTGATTTATCGCGTCTAGACGTGACGCGATAAATCGATCCCCGATAGATCGATTACTACCCGCCGATCCGGCGGGTAGTGAAGACGTACCCACAAATGGGGCTAGTGGTTGGAGCAGGAGTCGGGAGCCAGGGACTGGAGTCAAGGATCAGAGTCAGAACCCAGGTGTTGAGCCCAGGGTCGGAGCCAGAGGCAGGAGGAACCAAGGCTGGAGCAAACTGGAACACAACAATAATTAAGCCAGGTGGCAAGGCTGAAAACAAGGCAAGGGTATGAGTAATTGCAGCTGCTGCTGAACTTGAAAACAGGCCTGCTGGCTTCCTTCAGACAATCAAGCAGGCCAGCCAATCTGGTGGTCCTAATGCAACCCAGTTGAGCTCATTAATCTGTCTGGAGGACGGGCTGGCTAGTCCTCATGCTCAGCTGAAGGAGCACACTCAAGACAGGTGGAGACTAATACTGCTGTTCATGATGGATTTCTCCAATTTGTGTGCCTGGGAACACAATGGCTGGGCATTGTCTGTTCTCTGCCCTGGGGGAGTAAGATTACATACAATCTAGCCCTAATCAGGCATCCAGTGATTTGAGGAGGAATTAATCCTGATTGCTCACACCTCCCATAATTTGTTGTCAAGTTATTTTGAAAATTCTTCTAAGAGGATATTCTGAAACTTTAATTACTTTAGTGTTCTAAGATTTCCATCTGAGGTTGATATTGCTTGAAGCTTTGTTGTCATCAAGTATCTCTTTGATATTCTGTGTATTTGGTATTAAGGATATTAGTGAGGTGTGTGGTTCAGGTGTTCACATTACAAAGGACGTTATCGTAACTTGCAAAGTTCGGCAATTTCATTAGAAAGTTAGGAGGAACATGGGTACAATGAAGCACACACCGTATTTCAAGGAGTTCAGTAAGCAACACTGGGTGAAATTTGAACAGAGATGGCTCCATTTTGTCCCCTCAGGAATTCCCTGTCACCTAGGGACTCAGCAAATTGTCTCAATTCAAGAGATGGTATCCTCAAAGTATCCTGCAAATTCCTCACGGGTAAAATATGTACTCGATTTACAGTTAGTCATCTCACATTAACCAAATTATCCACCCCTGGGAGCAGTTCCACTGTGTATGACTTGTATATACTATGAGTAAGGCTAAGATTATGTCATGGAGGTCATGAATGTCACAGAATCTGTGACTTCCAGAGACTTCTATGATATTTCTGCTTCAGCCCTGGGGCGGTGGTGCTGAAGCTGTCAGCCGGCAGGGCCCTGGCAGTTCCCAGTTACTGCAGGGGCCTCCTGCAGCTCCCAGCTGCCGCCAGGGGACCTGCAGCTCCCAGCCACACTCCCTTTGAGCCGCCATGCATAGTGGGGGGAGGGCGGCAGCACTCTCGGCCACTGTGAATGGTGAGGGGTATGCCAGAGTCCCAGCAGGAGTGGGTGCTGGACCCAGGGACAAGTCACGGGGCTTCCGTGAATTTTTGTTTATTCCCTGGGACCTGTCTATGACTTTTACTAAAGACAATCATGACAAAATCTTAGCCTTAGTTATGAGGGATGTTACAATTATTTTCTTTGCCTCCTGCACAGCCACAGCTCAAAGCTTGATAAATTCCTTTAGTCACAGTCCAGGGGCCCTGGATCAGGACTCCACCACCACCATGTTAGCCATATTCCCTTCTTGTTTTATTCATTGCAAGTTATCTGTAAATCCAGTGAACGATGTGGGCAAGGCCAGAAGAGAGGCTATTTAGGATCCACTGTATCAATAGTAGAGCTGGCTGAAAAAATGATTTTCTGTTTTTCAGCCTATGGTAAATTCTGATACTTCAAAATTTGATTTTGTCCCAAATTTTGATGAAAAGTCAATATATCTCTGAGTTTTTTCACAAAAAGGAATATTCCAAAATATTTCATTTTGATCTTATTGAATCATTTTGTTTCAACTTCATCATTTTGACTGTTATAATAGCATAGAATAGAATAATCTAAATATTTTAACTGTCATTATCATAATGAAATATTTTGATAATTTCCCATGAACATTTAGATGAATTTTGACCAGCTCTAATTAATAGACATGTACAAAAGAATCCTGTAATATATCACCAGACCATAGATAGTGGTGATTTGGCAACATAGTTTACTCCCTCAGAATGTCCTGAAATCTGTCCAGTTCCAACAGCTACCATTGTCAATGTATTAATAATTGAAAATGTCATTGTATGAGTTTTAGAGAGACAAGATGGGTGAGGTAATAATCTTTCATTGGATCAACTTCTGTTGGTGAGGGACAGAGCTGTTCAGCCTAATTAAAGTTGTATGTAGTGGTCAGAGGGTAATAGATAGTGAGACCTTTGGGGATAATGTTTTGTTTCTTGCATTTGCTCAGGAAGTAGAAAAGAAATGAAATATTATCATCACCAGTTTCACCATCTATAACCCTCTGACCACTACATACAGCTCCAAATATGCTGAACAGCTCTGTCTCTCACAGAAGTTGTCTGTGATGGGGTGGACTAGGTCCAGAGGCCCCCTGCTGGAAGCCTCAGAATCCTTCCACATTTGTCGCAGGAAAGGAGCAGTGGAGCTAAGTCCTCCGAGCAGCCAAGAGAGGCTACAAAGGGCTAGCTAATCAGAGAGGCTGCAAGGAGCAGCCAAATGATGCCCAAGGGGACCATATAAAAAGGAACTGCAGAGCCAGAGACAGACAGTTCCTTCCTCGAGCCAGAGGAGTGCAGATGGCCAAAGGGAAATGCAGTGCCATGGACAGGTCAGTGGGCCAGGGAAGCAAGAAAGAGCTTCTGGCTGGCTGCTGGGCCAGAGCAGATATAGGAGAGCCCTGACATAAGGGTGAAGCATCAGTGAAGGCTGGGGCCTCAGGGAAGTGGCCTAGGGAACTGAAAGCAGTTTCATTAAAGGAACACAGTGGCGCATGGCTGCTATTCTTAGGATCCCTGGGCTGGGACCTGGAGTAGTGGCCAGGTCTTGGTCCCCCATATGCCACTAGGGAAGAGTCCTACAATTGGACAGTGATAATCCTCAGAAAGGGATCTGAGCTGTTCAGAGGCCCAGATGGAGATCTGGGGCCAGAACAGACCAAGAGGGCACTGCCTCCTGGGAAGAATCCCTGGGGTACTGCCAGTACCAGAGCCGGAACTGTTTAAAGACTGCAGACACTTACCACTGTTACATAGTCCAATAAAAGATATTATCTCACCCCCCCTTATCTCTCTGATATCCTGGGACCGACACAGCTACAACTACACTTCATACATCATGTGAGTTTGTATGACATTTAGCACAATGGAGTCCAGATATTGACTGTGACCTCTAAAAAGGACT